AAATTTTCAATTGATAACAAAACCTAATTGCCAAGTTTTAACATGTCTAGATAGCACAATAAAAAATGTGCATCATGCTTTGAATATATATACAATAAACTTATGTAATGATTCTTTATATGACTATTGAAATTTTAAATTAAACGTAAAATATTTATATCATTTTTTCATTCAATAATTAAACCCAATTGTCAAGTTTTAACACATCTTAACAGCATAATAAAAAATGTGCAGCATGTTTTGAAATATATATACTAATATATATATTGTAAAGAGCGGTCAAATATTTTATTGGGAAATAAAAAAAAATTAAAAATGTGAAATTTTTGGATTATCAATTTTAGTATATATAATTAATAATTAGTTGGATAGCCTTTAGATTTTTTTACAGCATCTATTCTCCTAGGCATACTATCAACTAAATTTGCCAATGTCTCTATGTCAATCTGGTACCATTCTTCTTCCAGGGCAGCAAAAAGATCATTTTTATTTCTAGGAATATTCTCACGTTTTCTAACTCTCCTTTCAAGCTCATCCCATAAATTTTCTATTGGATTTAAATCTGGACTCTGGGATGGCCAAGGAAGTGAAAGAACATCATTATCTTGTTTTAAAGCTCTGAACGAGCCGAGCCGGCTCGAGCTGAAGCTCGAAATTTCGAGTTCGAGCCGAGCTCGAGCTAAGAAATAATAGGCCCGAGACTTTCGAGTCGAGCTCGAGCCAAGCTCGAGTTTGACGTTACATAAATTTTTTAAGTAGCGAACATTAATCCTAATACTTTAACCCATTTAAGAGCCTGTTTTCTTGAATTCAGCTCGAACTTGAAAATTCAAGTTTTAACTCGAGTCTGCTCAGCTTATTCAAATAAACACAATAAAACGAATAAAACGAATAAAACAGAACAAAACGAATAAAAACGAACAAAAGGAACAAAAGGAACAAAACGAATTAAACGAATAAAAACAAATAAAAACGAACAAAACGAACGTAAGGAAAAAAAAACGAATAAAAGAATAAAACGAGTAAAAACGAACAAAACGGACAAACGGACAAAACGGACAAAACAAACAAAACGAATAAAACGAGTAAAAACGAACAAAAGGAACAAAACGAACAAAATGAATAAAACGAATAAAACGAATAAAAACGAACAAAAGGAACAAACCGAATAAAACAAGTAAAAACGAATAAAATGAATAAAAATTAATAAAAATTAATAAAATGAATAATAATAAAAAAACAAACGGATAAAACGAGAATAAAATGGATATAAAACGAAGAATTGTATTATGATAGGAACTCTAGCCCAATTCAACAATTTTTAAACATTTTGCATTTCGTTTTAATTCTCCGCAAATAACTGCGATGTATACAAGCTTTTAAACTTGTTGAACGTGAATTTAATTGTGACGCGAATTTAATTATGATTCGCTTTAATTATAATTTGTTAAAACAAAGGTTTTTTTGACTGTATGCATATATGTCAGAACCTAAAAACGTTTTTTATTA